TTGAATGCTCACTGTGTGCAAAACCTACACTTAACACCCAAGAGGAGATACTGTAATAATGAAGTCCTTTGTCTCTGGCACATGTAGGTTCTTTAACAAAGTGTCAGCGGTGCTGGTATCGTTGTATTCTTGATTATTGGGGCATGCATTTAGGAATACTGTAGATTGAAGTTTTGTATAAGAAGCAGGACAGAGTAGTGTCCAGGGTGTATATGCCTGAGCCCCACACACTTATTTTTAAATAAGGGCTTCACAATTTACTGGTTATGTGACTGTGAGCAAGTTATTTCATGTCCTTTGTAATGAAAGTAATACTAGAATCTACCTCACACCCTTTGTTTTCCTTTTGCCTGTCAGCTGTAAAGCACTGTGCAGATGATTTGCCCCAGGGAAGTTTTTCTATTTATTTACTTTGTTCATTTGAATATGTAAATACTGTTTGTCATCAAGTCTTAACTTTGGCAAGATTAAACTTAACTTGCTAAAACCATTAGATTTAGTGTGTTCTGGATACAAGAGAAACCTCAATCTCAAATATAGTTTAAGAACACTTACTAAGTTGTTAGCATGAGTCCAGAATGGCATAGGAGGATTCTGCCATGAAGCTAGTTCAGTAAGGCATGGCAGAAAGAAAACGGTCACAAACTCATGATTCACGTGGGGAGACAGAAGCAGGAGGAGGAGCATGATTGGAACACCTGCGGTCTGATAGAGAAATGCTTGAAAAAAACAGATCAAAATCCCACTGTGCAAGAACTTGCATGGCTAGTCAAGGGAGACAATCGATAGGATGGATCTGTGGCACCTAGTATTCAGGAGTGTGTGTAAAAAAAAGAGCAGAGCCATATGGCTGTTGCCAGGAACGACCAGCTGGTTGTGCTGTGTGGTCTCACAAGGGTAGCCATACAAACCCTCTACTCCAGCATTCAGGTTTGGTAGAAACTGTTTGGTTTTTGGAGTGGGTTGTACCTTGGTTCTTTGCTTCACACGCTGAACGAATGCACCTGAAGCACATTGTGTGATCCTGTTAGGTCTCTCATGGGAGAAATACCTTGGCCCTTGCCTTCGCACGAGAAGGAATTCACACCAAAGCCTGGTTTGTAATCCAAGTGAGTTTTTTTTATAAAGGATAGAAGCAGTTTCAGGCGTTACAGTAAACGGAACACAAGCCAGAGAGAGCGTTCTTGGCGCTTTACTGCACGGGCAGGCACACCCACACTGAACTGTGTAGTAGCCGCTGGGAGAGAGCCCGCAGGAGAGAAAACCTATGATTTTTCAGGGCCTCTGTTGGGAGACGTGGTCAACGATGCTGGTTAACCCTATTGGCTGAATTAAGCCCACCTGGCCTAAATGGGGTCCCACCCTGGTTTACTGGCTTCCCATCTCATAGACCTGAATGTGAGCATGCCCTCTGGCCTTAAACAGCTTCCTCCTTCCTGTAAGGGGGAAGGGAGGCTCTGGCATGTGGAGGGACAACTCCTAGTTTCTGCCTCTAGCTACCTAACAATCCAAGTGAGTTTTTAGGGAGGACAGGACAATTAGCAGGTTTTACAGTCTCAAAAGGGTGCATGCTATGGAAAGTGTGCCAAGCTGTGCCGAAGCCATGCTGGGGTTCACAACTGGGCACCAACAACCACATGGAAAAGAGTACCCACATGTGCGGAACTGGTGGGGGGTCGGGGCCGATCCCAGGAGACCAGAAACTCAAGAACCCTAGATTCTAAGAGCATGGGGCCCCAAGTAGGCCTCGAGTGGGCAAATGTGCACCTGTTCAGGGGAGGGAGACCCCCCAACCTGCTCTTGCTGCTGACCAGGAGCAGAGTGAAAAACAGGGAGGCCTTCCCACAGCCAAGATGTTTCAAGCCCCTGGCTAGGGAGGCATGGTTGATGGTTTTGATTGACCCCATTGGCTGAGTTAGGTCCACCTATGTGGTATACCTAAAGTGGGTTTCTCCAAAGTACTGGTTTTACCTGGACCTAGGGGGCTTGTGTTCAGTGGTTGCCTGATTTCTTCATTCCAACCACCTCTATGGGGGCCCTTGCACGCATGGGAGGGACAATGCTCCTGTCCCTGAGTTAGCTACTTAACAAAACCTCACTCTTTTAAGTACTTAAAGTTGACCAGAGCCAACAAAACTACAGGCCTGTCTGGATAGGACAGGCTGGATGAACAATCTGGAGGAGAAAACAAC